GCATAATCCCGGGAACGGCTATATGCGGTTCGGCGTGGAATTTATATAAGGGGATAACACCGGAGTCGATACGCTGTGCGATAACATCTTCAGCTTGCCCACAAGACATTTTAATTGACTAAGGTTTAATTAGCAAGCTATTGCCGGCACTCCCCTCCCTGGTTTTTGTATGTCACACCGTGTCGTCCGATACATTATTAGGTGTGCTTTGACGCGACAGAACTGTTTCATTTTAGACAAATTGCGCTATGAAAATTGTTTTCCGATATGAAGCCAGAAAACAACGTTTTTTTTTGCTAGAAAAAATCGTTTTTCACCATATTTCACAAAAGGTCGCCTGGAGGCCGAAAAAGCCGAACAGCACCTCGCAAAGAGGGCTGAGAAGGACACCCTGATGGCCAAAAAGACGACCGAGAGGCATAGGCAGGCTAGCCAGGCTGCAGGGACTCGTCAGACTTGGCAATACGGGTAAAATGACAGAGTGTCGACTACTGGACCAGGCAGTGTCGACTACTGGGCCAAAGGTGTCGACTACTGGGCCAATTAACACTGTTTTTTGCTATACATTTTTGTGCACAAAAATGTATTTGTTTCCATTTTCGACCTATGAGGCATTAAGTTTAATCCGTCCACTACACCCCCGAAATTTTTCCTTGACGCTACCGTACACCCACGCTCCGTTGTAGGCACTTTTGAAAAGCCTTGCTCTTAAACTGTCGACTACTGGGCCCCTTACCCTATATCCTACAGCCAAAACCTATTCGCACGCAGCCGGCCGAGCTAGGTAGCCCGACCTGTACATGACCCGTCCGCTGCGGCCCGACCCGCGCGAGGCCTCCACCACCCCCGCGCCCGAGACAGAGCGCTCCTCGGAATAAGTCGGCTGTCAATCCTATATATACTATTGTTTTACGATCAACACGTTATTGTGCGCCGCAAGGCGCGGGATCTTGAATAAAAGCCGGCTGGAGCCCAGGGCCCTTCGCCACACTTCCATTTGACTTTGACTTGTAATCATTCAGACTTGGCTCGGCACAGCCAAGCGCCTAATACTACAGTATGTATATCTATTCTAAACTTATCATTCAATATGCTTGTCTATTGTAAAGTTAAGTTCAGCAAGTGTTCTTCTCAAACCTTGTTGGAATAATTTGGATTTTTCACATAACATAAATGGAGAATATAATGTTCAATACATAATACAGCGATAATTTTGGAGTGAAATTAATTTGCATGGTTTGTAGTTGGACACATTCTCATACATCAATTGTATATACTTGAGATAAGAGTTGACTGTTTTGTCATTGAGTTCATTTATCCATTGTAATCTTTCATGGATATATTTTTTTGAATTCAATGAGAGGATCCGTTTGAAACCAAATCGTTCTAATAATAAGCCTGGCAATGATCTAACTCGTGACAGCTGTGTAAGTTAATCCTGGGGACATTTCTTTTAGGGTGCCTATATTAACATTTGCCTGCAAAATAAATTTTAATAATTATTAATATTACACTTTTACAAGTGATTTTACTAATTTTTTAGTGTCATCATTTATTACCTTGTCAAGAGTGAGTCCTTGAGATTTGTGTATGCTACAAGCATAACAGAGGGAAGTAGGGAATTGCTGCCTGATGCAATCTTGTCCATTTTTACTTTTCCATTGTTTGGTAATTGGTGTAATAACTACTGTCTTGGTCAAGTCATCAAGGTAAAGGCCTTGGTAACAGTCAAACTTACAGATAATGGCAACTGGTGCATCATCTGGAGGGCTTCTGTCCTGTGCATACAGGATGTCTACAACTTCACCCATGGAACCATTAACAAGCCCTTTCTCTGTCCACAAATTTGCTCGTAGCATTATTCTTGCACCCTTTGCCAAGTACAAAGTATTTCTTAATCCTCCAGCTTCGTTCTCAGTCCCATCTCTTGCTTGCGCAGAGTTATGCTGTGCAGGTATTCTTGAAATTGGCATAGGGTTGCCTGTAGTGGGGTGCTTTAGAGCTACAAGACAATTTTTATTGTGTTCATCAACTTCTGCTCTTGTAGGATACAATCGTATGGCGTCTTTGAAACTTTTTCTTTCTTCTTCAGAAACTGATGTTGTAAATCTTTGTTTCAAGATGTTGTAGTCTGCTTCAGACAAAGTGCCACAACTAATGTTGTGGAGAACATCAAGAAAACATGTGTCGTTTTGACGTTTCACTTGGGAAAGGACCATGGCAGCGTCAACCGTGGTGTAAAGCATCTTGCCATTGATATAGTCAATAGATACCTGGTTGTCTTTGTATTAGGTTGGGTCGAAATAACACTTTTGTCCGTCACCAAAACGCCTGGGTGCGGAAAAGTGTCCCAGACCAATTCGAAACTCAACGCACTTTGAAATTTTGAAATCGGATAATATCTTCTGCCTGTTCCTCGAGCGCAAAGTTTAACATTAGTTTCTTATGGGTAATTCGGTCAAATATCAACATTTTTGTCTAGGACTAGAAAAAAAAATGTTGAATAAAACTGACTTGAGATTAGTGATCTACGCCAAAAACCGAATCCCATGACATACAGTATGCCAACATTTGTAGACCTTTTTGAGAATTTTTCCTTTCATAAATATGCCAAATTTTAGAGAAAAAGTGAGAATTTACAAGATACTTTTGACGATGTGAGATGACTTAGATACACTTGCGGTATGTCATTTGCTTCGGATTTTTGCGTAGATCGCGTTTCTGAACTCAGTTTTAATCTTCGAAAAATCGTTTGGAACACAGATCAAATTTTTGGTATTTGACCGAATTCCCCATGAGAAGCTAATGTTAAACTTTGCGCTCAAAGAACAGGCAGAAGATATTATCCGATTTCAAAATTTCAAAGTGCGTTGAGTTTCGAATTGGTCAGGGACAATTTTCCGCACCCAGGCGTTTTCATGACGGACAAAAGTGTTATTTCGACCCAACTTACTTTGTATGGAGCACTATCTCCAACAGGAGCCAGTTGTTTAATATCACCAAAAAAAGAAAGTAAACACACCACCATATGGTTCATTATCTCTGTCCATTGCTTCTTTAAGTCTCTTTTCAATTAAATTCAACATGTTGCATCCGACCATACTATATTCATCAATCAAAACAAAGTGAACATTTTCAAATTTTTTTCGAAACTCATGAACAGCTGTTCCTTTTAAAGGTAGAACTTCTCTTGTTTTGGGATGAATGTGGAGCTTAGAGTGGATTGTTGACCCATTTATGTTTAGTGCACTGACACCTGTTGGACCAAGTAGGCAAAAGGCATCTGATCCCAAACTATTGCGGATAATGCTTTTCATTGCATGTATCAGTAGGCTCTTTCCTGTACCTGCAATTAAAAGTATGTTTACATTAATCTATAAACTTACAGTAATAAACTAAATAAGCACGACTGTTTTGGATTTACCTGCTTTGCCTTGAACAATTACAGATTTTAGCAAGTTTGGATGTGTTGAATTTCCTGATGTGATTGCTTGAATTTAATAAATCTTGAACTGAGTTTTTTTTCTGCGTTGGTAAAAAACTTGCCAATTTTGGTAGGGATCCACATTGTTGATATTTTGCAGTATCCTCATGCCAATAATATGAAAGGTCAACATCTCTTCTTCCTAGCTCAATTTTTCTGCAGAATTCGATGGACCCATCCTGGAAACACACATCCATTGTTCTGTTGTAATTGTGCCTCCATCATCCAAATCCTCAAATTCAGGTTCATCGGGTTGTTTTCCATCAAGATCACATGCAGGTTTGAAACTGTCAATAATTAATGGTTCATTGGCTTTGTATGCCTCTTCCCAGGAATTATACTGTTGCATAAATGAATCTTCATATCTCCACGGCACAAAAAGAAGAACTATTTGTCTGTAGTAGGCCTCTGGGTCACTGTTTAGTGTACTTTTGTTAAGCTTTGGATAAAGTTGTACAAAAGCTTCTTTTCCTGGAGACCGTTTTCTTCCCTTAGGAAGAATGATGTGTCTATTTATCGCTATTTTTAGTTTCATCATCTAGAACAGGTACCCATCCATCTGAGTCCAGCACTCTAAAATTGATAGAAACAAATTGTCTTCCATCGTTTGATGTCAATTCAAGCCCCATCAACAAATGGCATGTTTCTTGTGCAGATATGTCACGTTCACAACATGACTGAATGTAAAACTGCTGAATTATAGATTTGACAGTCTTGTCAGAATTATTTCTATTCATAATTATTTGAAGAATTTCTGTCAATTCCTTTGACTTAACTTCTGATTTAGTAACATATTTAGGTAGGTAATTGACTTATGCACGTTTTGACAGAACAGGAGAAACATCAATATTAGCTCGCCATGTTTGAATGAAATATCGATTGTTCTTGTTGAGACATGGATCATTTCTAGCTGTAATTAGTTCCAGATCATTATCTTCTGTATATCTTATTTCAGTTTTATCTGCCAGTTCTTTAGGAAATTTGAATCTGCACTCTTTCTTCTTTGTCTTCTTATTAGTCCTCATACAGTACCCATCTCTGTGTTCGGTGTGCCTTTGTACTCGATTTAGTAATTCTGCTAAATCTTTTTCGAGGTCAACAACTTCGGATAAGCGCTTGCGACAGGGGTAAATTGGTCCTTTAGGGCAATGTATATCAGGATGAGTGGTAGATATGAATTTGTCAAAGTAATCGGCTATTTCTTGTCTACGTTGAGGTGTTTCCTTGGTCAGATCTTCAAACTTGGGAGCATTTTTAACCATAAAACACCGTGAATATGAGGTGAACCTCTGCCGGAAAAGAAAACAACAAAAATTATTTAAAATTAAAATAAAAAAAAAGTGTTTTTTTTTTTTTTAAGATGCCGCTCACTTATGTTGATATTCAATTCTGAACCACAAATCGTCTACATCATATTTTTCCTTTAAAACCTGATAATAAAGGGAAATACTGTGTTAATACATGAATTACTATGACTTAGTTGAATGATTTTATTTCAGTACTTGTAGGTACCTGATTAATAAAGTTTTCTCCACGTCTTAAGAACAAGGCATCCACTCTTAAAGGGTTCTCTTCAATGAGTTTTCTGCGTCTTGATTCAGTCATTGTACTTAAGTCTTCATCAGGAGCTATGTTAAGAAATAATTCTGGCCAATGTAAGTCAGCGGCAGAAAGTGTGAAGAAAAGCGTTGGTAAACCAAGCTGCTCTATCATAGTAAGCAATTCTTGGCCCCTAGCATACCAATATAGTCGTGTACCACGTAAACTAGAGTTATAAAATAAAATTTTCTTCAGCAAGGCAGGGTTTTGTTGTAATTTTTCTTGTAATTGATCCATATCCATGTCTTGAAACTCAGAATTTTTCTTAACAAATACACCTCCGAATTTCAATGCATTCCATCGCATTTCAGAATTGCGAGCAAAATATTTGAAACGAGGATGTTTTGCAAACCGTCCATCTTGGTAATTCATTAAATGCTTGAAATATTGTTTGGGTGTAATGTTATGCTCTCTTGGGTTCCTTAAATCTGCTTTACCAAAAGGAAACAGAGTTGGGAAAGCCATAGCAATGTACCCTGGAGTTTTAAATTCATTAATGGCGTCCTTGCCAATTGTTGGCCACTTTAAAATACATTCAGCTTTATCTGTAGAAGTTGGTGGTGAAATAGAAGGGATACATGTCTCAATAATAGTATTGACAACTTCTTCATCATCAATTTCTGTTGGTTCATCTTCTACTGCTTCTTCACTGTCTACATTAATTACAAGAGTTACTTGATCAAAAACATTGCCATCTTCAGGAAGTTTTGACATGTTATTTTCACTTATCTCTATGTCAGTATAGTAGCAATTATTTTGTTTAAGCCACAATAATGCATC